CGTTGTTGTTTTCTGAGCTTTGCGCTCAGAAAACAACACACGTTCCTTGTATGTTTATTGGATTTCGCGCAAAGCTACATAATGGGAGATCTGGGCTCTAACTACCACGGGTATCGAACCACTAATTTTATCATTATAAGTCCGTAAACTTAACGATGACCCACCGGAGGAGTATGAAATAGAGGAAAAGAAAGACACACACTCACTTATGACCTGGAGGGAGTAGTTCTACCTTGTTCTTCCTCTCCCCCCTCCAAATAAAACGACAATCACACATGTTAGTCATTTCTTGGTATAGCTTGATGTAACTTGTCAATAAAGTAAAAATATTGAAAAGTGACAGGATTTTTCGGTTGTAAATCATCTAGATAGATAAATGATTCAGAGACTGTATAACTCTTATCGTTAAAATGAGGAGAAAGATCTAGAAATATCTAAATTCAGTATGATATAATATGTAGCGTCTCACTGTTGGTTAGCTATACTAATTTCGTTTAGAAAATTCTCGATAAAAGAGAAAAAGAATGAGAAGTTTGAATTTTATATTTATGACAAAACTGCTAAGACTATCTGCCGCCATCTCTAATTTTGAACTACTGACCAAAGGGAAGGCAGTCAGTCAGCAGCATCCTACCACTAAGCATCTACGCTCAGGAATTGATTGTTACTCTTATAACGCAACCACAGCTTAAAGTGCGAGAGATATTTTGTGAAATCGCACAAATTCGAACCCGGCTCACTAGCTCCTAAATTGGCCCAGCATGGCCAGGTGGTTAGTGCGCTTGACTCGCAATCTGAGGGTCGCGGGTTCGAATCCCCTTCCCACCATACATGCTCGCCCTTTTAGCCGTGTGGGCGTTATCATGTGACGGTCAATCCCACAATTCGTTGGTAAAAGAGTAGCCCAATAGTTGGGGGGTGATGACTAGCTGCCTTCCTTCTAGTCTTACACTGCTAACTTAGGGACGGCTAGCGCATATAGCCCTCGTGTAGCTTTGCGCGAAATTCAAAAACAAACAAACAAGCTCCGAAATCCATAGCTTTGCTACACGGCTAAACTGCCACAGATAGAAATAATGTGACCATAGTACCTGTTGGTAATCCATCACTAGTCACTTTAAGAATAGTCATTTTGACTACAATTCCAGTAAAGCTATCGAGAGAATCCAACATATTGTACTAAGAGGCATTACTACAACAAATGTTAATATTTAAAAGAAATTAAACTTTGACATTTTTTTATTGTTTATAACTACAAAATATTCTAAAGCTCTTCCAAGTACATACGGAATAACAAATCAAACGAATTTTGTTTATGATTACCTTGAGCTTTATCAACCGATGTGTAACTTCGGCGGAGACACCACGAAGGTTTGCAATTATAAGAACTTATTTTTTCAATATATTCTATAATCGTTCCTGTGCATAGATTTCATAAAATAGATAAGAACTTCAACGTTTAGAATGCACAATAATTTATTGTATAAAGTTAAAAGTAAAGATACTGAAGATGGTGGAATTTTTTTCACCGAAACATGTGGTGTTTTAATTGTATTTAGTTTTTAATTGTATATTTTACTTTAAACTTATAC